ATGAGTGTGTGTGTGTGTGTGTGTGTGTGTGTGTGTGTGTGTGTGTGTGTAGCCAGGAGAGAGATAGAGATAAATAAAGAGACAGACAGAGTCAAACAGAGAGAAAGAGAGAAGCCATGAGTGTGTGTGTGTGTGTGTGTGTAGAGAAGTTTAAAATGTTCCCTTGAGCTTGCTTTCTCATATGGTTAGTTTTATTCTGACATTTTGCTACATGGTTTTTATTAGTCACATCTGATCTTTGTGGCTTCCATCACTGTCTCCTCCTCCTCCTCCTTCAAGATTTATTGAACATTTTGTACCGTTTCATTGTATCTTCTTTGTGGATCTGTTCCTTGTAGCTCTTTGCTTGGCTATTTTAGGGCTTGCTTTGTGATTTATGCCACACATCCTTCTTTTTCTTAGCCCACCTTAAATCAACGTTGTGCCTTTCCACATGGAGCATAAAACTCTTGTGATAATCCACTCCGGTTCCTGCTCTCCTGCCCTTATGCTATACTTGCCCTGTATTTCACGTCTCCATGTATTAGAAACCTGATAGACTACTATCATTTTTGCTCAGTCAAGAGTAGGGTAGAGACATTTAAGTCAGAAGAAAGTGTTTTGGATAGTTAGCATTAGCTAGTTCTTATACTATGTCCTTCAGTCCTTTTGGTAGAATGATACTCCTCTCATCTGGAATTGTTTTCCTTCTTCAGTGATGGACTTACTTCCTTTATCACTTCTTTTGGAGACATCATCTAGGGATAAATTCTTCCAGCTTTTATGTGTCTTAAACAGTCTTAGCTTGCCTTTGTTTTTGTGTGGTATCTTCCTGAATGTTGAATTTATTTTCTTTCGGGGCTTTCAAGATTTTGCTCCACTGCTCTCTCACTCACATTGTTCCTGTTAAGAACTTGCCGGGCGGTGGCAGCACATGCCTTTAATTCCAGCATTGGAGAGGCAGAGGCAAGCAGATCTCAGTGAGTTCAAGGCCAGCCTGGTCTACAGAGTGAGTTCCAGGACAGCCAGGGCTACACAGAGAAACCCTGGCTCAGAAAGAGGGAGGGGGGAAGAACTCTGCTGTTAAATTTGTTTGTATTCCTCTCTGTGTAGCTTGTCTTTTTTCTGTAAGATTTTCTCCTTATCATTGCTTTTGAGTAGTTTCGTTGAATGCCCTTTGATTAGCTGCCTTCAGTTTGTGTGTGGAGTCCACTGAACTTCTTCAAATGTTGGTTTATAGTTTTTATTAAATTTCAGAAAGCTCTAATCACACTTTCTTTGTACTTTTTTTCTCTGTGGCCCCTTTTTACCCTCTTTAGGAACTCCAGTTAGATATATTTAAGCCTCTTGAGAATGACCCACAATTCACTAAACTTTTTGCTTTTAAAATTAAGTTTTCTCTGCTTTGATTTTTAAAAAAGTTATTTCTATTTGTGTGTGTGTGTGTTTGTGCATGTGTGCAAATGTGCACACACATTCCATGTTTATGGAAGCTAAAAGAGGATCTTGAGTCTCCTGAGTTGGAGTCACAGGCACTTTGTGAGCGCCCCCTCCTGGATGCTGGGAGCCAAACTCGGGTCCTCTGCAAGAGCAGTGAGCACTCGTGCCTGCTGCAGCATGTCTGCAGCACCCAGTTTTCTTTTGCATCCTGTCTGCTCTCGTGTTCACACATATTCAAGCTCCCTCATCTTGTTCTCTTAGAACTCACCTGTGGCCAAGTCCACTTTGTGCAGCTTTCACCTCAGACACTGGAGTTTTCACTTCTTAAAGTTCTTTTTGGTGTTTAAAAAAAAAAAAATCTTTGGGCTGGAGAGATGACTCAGTGGTTAGGAGCATTAACTGCTCTTCCAGAGGACCTGGGTTCAGTTCCCAGCACCTACATGGTGGTTCACAACTTTCTGTAACTTCAGTTCCGGGGACGGGATACCCATAGCAAAAACACCAATGCACATAAATAAAATTTAAGAAAATAAATAAATAAAATATCTTTTATATCTCCATAACTTTTTGAACATTTGAAATAGCATCAAAATAACTATTTTAATATCCTTCTTTGTTAAGAAAAAAAGGCTAGGTGATGTAACACGCCTTTAATCCCAGCACTTCAGGAGCCAGAGGCAGGTGGATTTCTTTGAGTTAGTCCACAGAATGAGCTCCAGGACAGCCAAGGCTACACAGAGAAACCCTGTGTTGAAAAACCAAAAGCAACCAACCAAACAACTAACGAATCAACCAAAAAAAATCCTTCTTTGTTTTAAAATTTTCTTTTTTTAAAAAAGATTTATTTATTTATTATATATACAGAAGAGGGCGCCAGATCTCATTACAGATGGTTGTGAGCCACCATGTGGGTGCTGGGAATTGAACTCAGGACCTCTGGAAGAGCACTCAGTGCTCTTAACCACTGAGCCATCTCTCCAGCCCTTAAAATTTTCTTAATGTATTTATTTTACTATTTTATGTGTGTGAGGGTTTTGCCTGCATACATGTCTGTTATCATGTGCATGCCTGGTGCCTGCAGAGGTCAGAAGAAGGCTTCGGATGCCCTGGAACTGGAGTTACAGAAGGCTGTGAGCCACCATGTGGGTGCTGGGAACTGAACACTAGTCCTCTAAAAGAGCAACAAGTGCTATTCTGACCCAGCTGACCCAGCTCTCCAGCCTCCCTCCGTCTCCACTAATTTTAATACCCATGTCACTTCTTGATTCTTTTCTGTTAGTTGATTTTTTTTTTTCCTTTCTTATCACAGGTCATAGTTTCCTGCATGCCTAGTAATCTGATGCCAAATACTATCAATTTTATGTTTATTTTTAAAATTTTTTTTTTTATTTTTTTGGACACAGCTAAACAATTTGGGAACAACTTTGCCCTTGTGGGTCTTGTTCTTTAGATTTCGGGGGTACCATTATTTATGATTAGTATTTTTTCATTGACAAAACAAGACCCTCTGAGCATTCTATTCATTGTCCTGTGAATTAGATGATCAATAAGCCTGGTTGGCAGGATCAGATGCTGTTAGCAGCCCTGTGTGAGAGGCAGGTACAGTCATAGTTCCTCCCTGGGTCTTGAGTGGTTTCCTTCTATGTTAGTGCTGATCCAAACTCTGTTGAATATTCCAGAATTCCCTCTTGGGCCCTCTACAGTACTCTGTCCTATAGCTTCTAGCCACCCTAGTTCTTCCCACATAAGTGGTCGTGTCTGAAGTCTGATTGGGAAACTCAGCTCTGCCCGTATTGTATGTAGATGGACTCAGTCACTTCTCTATAGGAAGTAAAATATCCCTGGTAGTGGGCAGGAACACTCAGAAGGTTCTGGAACTCCCGATGCATCTTCTCCTTTGCCTACTCATAGGTACTATGTAGTCAGCCAGGTCTCCTTCCCTTCATTCCTTCCTGGTGGTCCCCAGGCTTTTCTACCCCTCTACTTGATCTTTAGATCTTTCCAGCCTGCTCCCTTTTGGTAGAGTGGAGAGGTTCTCATGGGCCTGTCGGTCTTTGCTCTTGGTCCATCCTTGAAGAGCCATGGCTATTCATTCAGAGCACTTTCTTTTTCTTTTTCTTTTTTTTTTAATTTTTGTTTGTTTGTTTTTGCACTTGCTTTGTCATGGACAAAGCAAGACCCTCTGAGCATTCTATTCATTGTCCTATGAATATAGGATGTGTGACGTGTGACACATGTATGTCTATGGGTGCCAGAAGAGACCACCTGGAGGAAGAGTTACAGGCAGTTGTGAGTTATGGGGCTTCTGTAAGAGTAGCACACACTCTTAACTGCTGAGCCATCTCTCCAGCCACAAGAGCACTTTCTAAGATAGAATAAGCAAGAGTGACTGTGTCTTAGGACTTCACTTCCTTATGACAGAAGGCTCCCGTGCCGTAGACAACTGACATCAAATAAATATGTGTGCCTTTTCCTTGTTACTGTCTTTTGTTATAGGGGTCACAGCCATGATCCTGGTCATGAGCGAGGAGAGAAGACTTTGCCTCTTCTATAGTGGTACTCTTTGACGCTACCCTGAAACCTTTTCTTCTCAAAGTTTACACAGTCACTAAAATGAAGTTATTTGAGAAAACCAACATGCTAGTGTTGGCTACATCAAGAAGACATGCCTCCTCCAGACAGAAACTCAAGGATCACCTGTCAGCGACACTATGCCTCAGATGGGACTTTTCAAAACCCAGTCAAAATACCTGCAATGACTTTAAATTATTCTAAGAGTAACCTTAACATTTACAATTATGATGTTCACTAGAGCAGCTATCTGAATCCCAGATATTTTAATTTTGCATGCAAAAGACAAGAAGCAGACATTGACCATGAGTTAGAAAAAACAACATTAAAAGAAAAAATATGAACGCAGGGAAAAGCAAAGACGTGAGCTGTAAATTGTGTATCTTTCACTACTTACTGGACTGTTGTTGGCGGTCAGGAAAAATTTACTAGTTAGGAAGAAAATGAGCCTTGTCCGTGGGTCCTAAACAATTCTACTATTAAACTACCCGATGACTGAAGAGGCTTTGCTGTGTGCTTTTGTTTTGTAGGTACTATTACTTGGCATTCCGAGCACATCAAACACCTCCCGCTAACAAAGAGAGCTGTGTTGCTATCTTGGAAAAATCCAGATTAGATCGCTGGGTCCTGGGAAAAACAAAGGTAGCGCTCTCTCCTTATTGTTCAGACTGTCACCTGTGATGCTCTCCTGTCACGGAGAACTAGCTAACATGGCTTGTGTACCTGGCACCCCACAGCAGGCAAGACTCCAACTTAAAAAACGGTCTTTGTTGGTCTTAACCAACAAAGCCAGAGCAGGATGGTGGTATGCTGTTCTGTAATTTGAGAGCTTTTAGCATTTCAAGAGAGAGAGAGAGAGAGATCTTTGAATGCACTTTAAAATGTCCCCTTCTCCATACTTCATGATGGAGCACACATGTTACCGTATAAATCACAGTCGCGGCAGCGATGAGCTCTCTGTAGAGTTTTGCTCCTTTTGGTGTTCGATCTGTGCTGTTTATTGCATACTCTGATTTTACTTTCATCGTGTGTAGCTTTTCATTTGGGGAAACATCATGTCCCTGTGGGAGCCCAGGTTGTAACGGTTCAATTCTGCAAGGCCTGTTCCAGCCTGCCTGTGGATTTCCTCAATGGAAATTAGATCACGGAGGGTCAGCCGGATCTCCTGGCCTCCTGACCATCTCCCCGGGTTGGGACTGTTGCTCAGCACCTCCGTCAGAGGCTATGATGAGCAATGAGGGAAGAGCTGGCCTGAGAAAATAGAACTCCTGGCTGTTGGGAGGCAGTCCCAACTAATACCTGGGACTGCCTAAACTCCGAAACCTCATTTTAGAAGGGGAACTGTATTCGCCAGCTCTCCTCCAGAAATCACCAATGTATGCATAAGTTAAATCACTATGAACTTTTACTTAGATAACGGCTTTAATATTTGCATGAGGAATAGGCTGCAATGGAGAGATTTTCTGTCGGGAAGCCCAATGTAACACTAAAACAATGATTCCTTGTAGGTTTTCCTCAAATATTACCACGTGGAGCAATTAAATTTGCTCCTGCGAGAGGTCATAGGCCGAGTGGTCATGCTGCAGGCATATGCCAAGGGCTGGCTCGGAGCCAGGAGATACAAGCGAGCCAGAGAGAAGAGGGAGAAGGCTGCCATAAGCATCCAGTCAGGTATGCGGCCTAGTTCTGTCTGGCCAGTACTGCCGCTCGGTATTTCCTTGAGGGCTGGGGGCCACTCACCTTGGGCTCTCGCCTTTCCCCTTCTCCCTTCTTCCCCTTGTCTTCCTTTACTTCAGCAAACAGTTTTCAAGTACCTACATGAGGCAAGCCTCATACCAGGCTCTCGGGATGTAGCCAAGGGTACCCCTTTATGGTCTGACCCCAAAGAGAGACAAACCTACAAGCCGTTAGAACACCCTGGGGTGAGCCGTGAGACACAGGCGGTGTGAGCTGAACAGTGATGTCCAACTCCATCCCTCCACACGGGCCCGTCCCCTGAAATGACAGATAACACACACTTAGGGTGCACCCAGATTGTACCATCACAATGACTAACATCATCCTCGTAGGGGTTTGTATCACAGCTGGGACTTATAAACAGAGGAAATGAGCCTCTAGGCTTTATCCAAGCTGGCTGATGCCTCTGTCCATGTGCATATGTCATGGGTGCTAGGAATAATACCTGACTTTCAAGCTCCTGATGAGTGGTTAAAAGCACGAGACCTTGAATTCATAAGGTCGATTTCTCGGTACTCTCATAACAAGAAACCATAGCATGCTTTAGCGTGCCTTAGACCTCATGAGCTTGTCCAGAGGCTTGGGGATGCTCAGGCCGATGTGGAGACAGAAGAAGGCTGCTCATCTCGGCTGGAGACTTTGTGCATCACCTCTGTCTGAAGGATGTCTGTCTCCCGCACTCCGATCTCTCTCTCCTCTGCTCTCTCCCTTGCCTTCCCTTTCCATGGAAGATGTTGCCTCTTCCTCAACAAACACTAGCTGTGTGCCTCCCTCTGCCCCCTTTGTCTTCCTCTCCAATTATACCTTTCTCCTGACCATAAAAACGATTAAAAGGACTGGGTTAGTTCAGTGCCTCCCACCACCACCCTCTCCCCCCAAGCCCTAAGCCCCAGCTTAAACCTGGGCGCTCAAGGCAGGGTTTCCTCCATGCTTGGGAAGACAGGAAGCCACCTCACCTGGGGCCAGGGGCTCCCACTATTACTAAACAGAACTCAAACTGTTCTGGAAATATCTCTGTGTAACTAAAAACAGTGCCTCAGAAGTATTTTAAAACTTGACCAAGGGTTCAGAAAGGCCCCTCCTCTGCTGTAGTTCATCTGCTGGTTTTGCTCAGGGAGAAGGCAGGGGTGGGGGGTGGAGAGGTGGAGGGGGGGCGGAGGGGAATGGGGATGAGAGGAACAGATTGGAGGTGGAACAGCTTATATCAATTCTCTGGCACGTTTTTAAATTAATGTCATTCCCGGCACATGGTTTTATATTTTTAGCCTGGAGAGGATATGACGCTCGGAAGAGACTGAAGCGAATCAGCCGCAGAAGGAGTGAGTCTGCGGCTCAGAGTCAAGCAGGTAATTAAAACACCATTGCTGCAGTGTCCACTCGGAATGTTCTGTGGTTCCATTCTAATGAGTTCAGAGAAGCTGCCGCTAATGACAGAGGAGCCCTGGGGTGAGTCAGAAGTCCTGGTGTGTGTATGTCCCAGGCAGCTCTCTCGGCTGGGGTCCTGAGGCACTGTGCACCTTTACCAGGGGCCGTGCTTACTAAGAAGACTCTCAGGAGGCGTTCTTATGTTCCTGCTGCAATAGAAGAGGAAACCGAGGCCCAGAGAAGGGGCGGAACTCATCCCTTACTATACAGCTTGCTAACAGTAGGGCTGGTCTTCGGAAGCGAGGCAGTTTGGACTGAGCACATTTGATACGATGTTGCTCCTGGACGAGTCTCTTTCCCTTCTTGGAATCATAAGTCTGTCATCAGTGAAATGGGAACAGCTGGCTTTAAAGGTGTGTGATGGCCGGGTGTGATAGCACACGCCCTTACTCCCAGCACTAGGGAGGCAGAGGCAGGCAGATCTCTATGAGTTCTAGGCCAGCCTGGTCTACAGAGGGGGTTCCAGGACAGCCAGGGCTACACAGAGAAACCCTGTCTCAAAAAACTGGGAGGTGGGGTGGAGGGTATATGGTGATTTGTAAGGCCTGTCTGACTCTTAGTATCACAGAGGAGGGGGAACTCAGGGATATCCCCAAAAATCCACGTCTGTGTGGCTAGCGCAATCTTCTGAGCCCCAGTGATCGCAAGAGCACAGGGTGGATCTTGGGGTCTGCTCGCCCTTAGCAGCCTGACAGCTGTGAGCTTTGGTTGCTGGTACTTGAGTCACTCCCTGGTTCAGGGGTCACCAGGCTCTTCCGTAAATGCCATGTCCTGTGTGGCTGCCAAGCCAGGGTCCCTCCCTAGTGTGAAGCTGCAAATCTCAAACTGAGATTCTGGAAGACTCAGGATCTTGACCATGCCAAGAGTTCCAGGGGTGCAAGAACCCGGAGACAGAATGAGCTCGTGGAGGGCAATGCAGTTAACAGGGAAAGAGGGGGTTCTGAGGCAAACCCTTCAGTCAGACAGCAGGCCCAGGCCAGAGCCAAACTCCAAGGCATCCCTCTCAGAATTCTTAGGCCACGGAGGAGGCCAGGCATCTTCACTAAGAGCTCAGATATTTTGGAAGTAGGAGTGCCCTTTCAATGCAAGCATGTTGCACTTAGCACCATCTTCTAGTCGTTTCTAACCTCTACCACTTCAAAGCCCTATGAAAAGTGAACAAATTCTTGGTGCAGCTTAAGAAACACAAAGTCAAAGTGCATCTTGTGTTCACTGCTTATTGCCAGCTCTCTCCTCTCTTCTCTCTCTCTCTCTCTCTCTCTCTCTCTCTCTCTCTCTCTCTCTCTCTCTCTCTCCCTCCCCCCTCTCCTCAAGAGGATACCAGCTGATTCCAGATTTTGCAATATGCTCAACATATGTTTTAAAACAAAATCTTTAAGCCTGTGTGTTGCTGATCCATTGAGTCCATTCTATAAAAATCATGACATGTCTGAAAATCACATTTGAGGGCCAGGTGAACACTGCTTCAAAGCACAAGCAGGCTGGCTTCATGCCCTCTGTCTTAAGACAGTGACGGGCGGCTGTGCTTCATCCTTGAAGGGCACGTGGGTGGGTACCACGGAAGGTTAATTTTGCATGTTTTCCTAAAGCACCTCCCTTTTCTTCTTTTGCTTTGCAAGCATTCACTGTCCACAGCTCCCTGGCCACTTACTAGGCAGCATCAAAGTGTGTATTAGCCAATTCTGCAGGGGCATGAGGTGGGCATGAGGGTCACAACTATGCCCTCAGTGCCCCGTGTGGCAGGAAGCAGGTAGAGTCTCCCTACCTTCAGCCAACAAAATGGACAGGAACTGATGCACCCCTAGGGTTAGGGCTGGGGCTAGGGTTGTGATTTTTCCCAAGGCATAACTGTCTCCCCACAAGCTCCCCTTCCTGCTGTAGAAAACGTTCCAAATTATAACTGTCCACATAAAACAAAAAGACGACATAAAGAGGCAGGGTGACCAGCTCAATGCAGCCATTTCTAAGGTTAATTTCTGACCGATTATTTTTTTCCAACCAATTACTTTCTTTGAAATTTCGATTCCGTGGAATGCATTTGTTTGTGTTTCTAGCCCTTACCCACAGCCGCCTTTTATTTACTGACGTTGCTGAAATACGTTATATATATATTTTAAAGAGCAGCCCTTGAAATTTAGGAAGCATTTGGCCTACATGTTGCTGCAGAGCAGCACAGAGTGAAATTTGTTTTCCTTTCATCTCCTTCCCAATAAAAGCAGCCCAGCGCAGCTTATCCCTTCCTCAGAACTTCCTCTCAGAATTCCCGATCTATTACAGCACATTCGGATACCAGCAACAAGCTGCCTTTTCATGCTGTCAACCTTTTTCATCTGAAATGTAAATTAATTCTAGCTGGTATGCCTCGACAGAGATCAAAGTCCGCATTAACCTTGCTGCTTTCTGCTCCTGAGGACCGGGCGGCCACTGATAGGAGCCTCTGGCCCCCTGATCCTGCCCTCCTCCAGGAAGCCCTCAACGCGGAGCCACCCTATCAAAGGCTCCGTGTTCTTTCGGAAAGGACCTCAGAGGAACTTTAAACCAGACCCCGAATGATCCTCCCAGCTAATTCTTGAGCCATGAGCCTGCTGCGTTTAATTGTGGGCTCTTCCCTGGGCTCCCAGGGGCTGAGTTAAGTGGCTAGGGCCCTGGGTGGGATGCAGAGACGGTAGGGACTCCACACTGAAAGCACCTCTCCCTCCCAGTTGGTCTTTGAGGTAGGCACATTTGCATTTTCAAAATAAACAGATGCCTTTCAAATACATGAGCTGGTGGTCTGGAGACCTCTCCTGGCCCAAAGGGTGCAGCAGCCAGCGATCAAATGTTGGAGAGAAAACAGACGGAGAAAACACCCTCGGTACGAGAGAGGACACGTTTCCTGTGTGGCATCCCCGAGCAGGCAGTGAGAGCGTCCAGGCGCTGAGCGGGCAGAGCCAAGCAATCTGTGCTGGTTTCCTTTGGGGACTTGGAATGTCAGTCACCTTGGCTTGTTTTGTTGTTTTTATCATTGATTCATTCTGGGAGGGGGAGGGGGGACGCTCTCTGTCAGAAAACTAGGAGACAAGACAGCACATACTAATATTCAGATAGATGAGACATTCCAAGTAAAAAATTAAGTTGTATTTATTCCACTACAAATCTATTGCTTTTTGATTAGCTGTTGCATTTCAGAGAGAGAACCTAGCTGCATTCATTTCTGAAGAAAACCAAACACACACACA